ATATAAATCATTTTTGTAACAACTATTTGTGATAACTGTTATTGTAAATTGTATTATTGTTAGTATATTAAAATATATTTGTATTAAAAAAAAAACTTTGTGTATCAATCTTGTTGGCAAATATCATAAATTGGAGATATATCGGCATTTATTTAACTATTAAATTTAAATTATCATTTACCTCGGTTTCAAACCATTTGAAATTGTAATACGTAACAGTTGGTACTTTACAGCTGGTATGAGGATCATGGAAGCATGGTTGAAAGAAGATAATAGATTCAGGAACTGTTTCTTCAGACTTGAGTGGCCACTCGTAAGCTACTCCAACGTTCAGCATCATGTAAATTACTATAGATTACCAGGCAAAAAAGATAACAGTGAAACAAAAGATAATATATACTTAGAAGGTTTACGGCATTAAATAGTCCAATACTCTATTTTGTTTTAAGAATAAAACAACCTCCCGTGTGGGTGGGATTAATAATTAATTTCTTTAACTAATTAAACCTTACTTCACTCTCATACTTAAAATAATAAAATTACAATTGATATACGTTGTTGTTTCAACTAAAAAAAGCTTACATTATGCCCATTTTTTCTTTATATTTACTTTGTCTGTGACAATCGGACAAAATCGCATTTGTAGAATTAAATAGAGAGATGCTTTCAGCTGCTTTCCGACATATTTACTGGAGAGATTTTGCTTTATAAAGCGTATATATATATAAACTTGTCTTTCACACATACAGTACGTATATCGACTCATCACCCGAGCATGTTTTGTTCAACTAAACGTCAATCACCAATTTGAATAATGTATTATTATCCCTTTATTACATTCTTCTAATATAAGAGATGCAGGCAGCTCGAAAGTTGTTTTAAGTTTAAAGAAATAAAATGCGTGTGTCAATTTATCGTATTGCCTTGTAAGGAAAAAAAAAATCTTCTCCTAGAAAAAGAACGTTTTTCTGTAATGGATGAATCTATTGTTGAACATGAAAATTCTACATATTTTTAACATATTATTCTAAGCAATTACGAACTCCAACTGTGCAAATTTTCGACCAAATTTATAATCAACATTGTTGCTAGGCATAGAAACAGAAAGGTATCATTAATTAACCTCCATCATGCATCTTTTATTAAAAAGTTGCATAAAACTTCTATAGTAAAGAACAATAAAGACTGGTGAAACAACGCTTTATTTGAGTCATTGTAGGTTTATGAATACAATGTCTTCAACAGAGTAAAAGATAACTCCTCACTTTAGAGACTAAAGCTCGGATCTTAGCTGAGTAATGAATAAAATGCTAATATATATTTACGTTACTGATTTTTATTCTATCTTGAAACAGTATTAGTATTTTTTAACTTCAACAGCACCTTATGTACACGTGCATCGTCTAAACAACGAGATCGGAGGCCGAGTGTGCTCATATATAGCCTTCCCTAATTTTGAAGTACTGCCAGAGGGAAGACAATCAGTAGCAGCTACTCACCATAACATGACTGACTGTCACTCTCATAATGCACTGATATCTTAAAATGAGAAGTGTGTTCAGCGGCACCGCGAACCTTCGATCTTCCGTTCTACAAACTGGCGCACTAAATACTAGGCCACGTCTGGTTCCCTTTGAACAGTAGTACAATATACGATTGATTATTAAACAAAATTATCTAGTAATTGAGACTACGTTTATTTAATCGTACAACTCTCTAAAATGAATGTAACATATATATACAATAAGTACAACATAAAATGCATTTTTGTTTTAGCATAAACGTATCTCATATGCTGCATTTGATATCTAATAATCCTAACAAACGTTTTAGAACAGATCTTTTTTGTGTTTCATACGAATGTAATTTTTAAATATGTTTTAATTCCAAAGTGCCAAAGCAAATTTACTACATCTTTTTATTATTTAATACTTGTCTTCAATGTTAGCTTGGCACTCATTTTTCTCACAGAGAACAATGGCATCAGCTTTCTCAGCTAGGAAAGGCGGACTGATACATTATGAAACAAAAATACCAAAATGTGAGAAAGCTCTACTAGTGTGCATAACAAAAATTTCCTTAAGCGGCACTTATATTAACACTCTCATATGGACCGACATAAACATTTTATGATCAATAACATAAGTTGCTCTTTGCAACAATGTAGCAAGAAAAATGTATGTGAATATTCCACATCCCAAACTGTTTCTCATTATCAGCAAGTTAAAAAAATAATATTAAACAATCAAATTCCGTTCCCTCTTTATTACTCCACTGTCATCAACGCGTCACCAGAATTACTCCACTTTCATCAACGCGTCACCAGAATTACTCCACTTTCATCAACGAGTCACCAGAATTACTCCACTTTCATCAACGCGTCACCAAAGAACTAAACGTTAACCACTTTGAAAATACACAATCTTGTTTCCTTTTCTTTCGACCCTTTCCCTTGTCTACGTTAACCATATATTAAGGTATCTTAATAACAATGTGTTTTGACCAGAGTTGGTCACTTCCTTTCTCGGTGTCAGGTTATCATTAACGTCCGTCAACGTCCATCTAAAATAAATAGATAAAGACAGAATTATACATTAATTTTAGTAAAACCAGCATTAATATACAATATGTAACAGTTTGTTATGGTTTTGAAAATTGGTAACTGTCTTTATCATACAAAAACAAAAATGCTGAATTGTAAAACGCTTCTAACTTACTTTTTTTTTTGGTACTAAAATATAATGACTTTCACATCTACTATTTGATTAGAGGAAGCCTTCTTTTATAAATTATTCATATTTGGTTCAATTCGGGACAAAAAACAAAGGTCGAAATAAAGCAAGTAATGTAGGAGCCAAACCTATTTTTGCGAGTTTAGAGAGCTAGCTTAGGACAAAAGAAAGTATTGCTAACATATAAAAAAACCTATTCTATGCAATGAAGACATTTCGTAATCTATGGAATCAATGACAGGTAATGAACCAGCTCTAGACCTTCAGTTGATAAATGTCATGACATCTTTTCCAAAGTCATTAAAGTAAAGCATACGGAGATATTTTTCGCAATGTTTATTGATAAACATAATAAATCAGGCTCGTTTCTGAGTTGAATTATTAAATAAAAAAATGGTCAAGTGATTTCAAGCAAAACTGTTCCATTAGGTGAATAGTTGAATTACGAAAGTGTTTACTCTATTCCATCATGTAGGTGAATAGTTGGATTACGAAAGTGTTTACTATATTCCATCATGTAGGTGAATAGTTGGATTACGAAATAGT